CCACACACACCCCTGCCTGCAAGCCTACCAACACGTTACCTGCCAGCACGGCCCCTCCATGCCTGTCTCTGGGGTCCTGGGAGCTCAAGACACAGGAGATTAGTCCACATGCGGTGGCCCTGGAGCCGCATGTTGGTCAGGCGCGAGCTCACGCCCAGACTCCCCTTTCTGACTCCAGTCCACAAAGTGACCAAGTGCCAGTCCTGTCACATCCTTTCTCAATTACTTGCTAGAGCCGCTGCCTGCCTCGTTAGGTGGAGGCTCAGTGTCTCCCTCTTGAGGCTCGCCCACCCTTGGATTGCTCATGGCCTACCGCGGGAAGCTCAGGGGGTCCCTGCTGTGTCCGCACAACGTGAAGATGGAAGCTGGGGTCTTGCTCCTGCTCTGCTGCAGTTTCTTCTCACAGCCACATGGTGTCGCTGTGGGGCTGCAGGTCCACACCGAAGCCCTGCCCTCTGGGCTCTGGGCTCTCTCCAGGGCGCTGGGGGCCACGCTGTTCATACCCAGCCTCGGGGCACCCACTGGCTGGCCCCAGAGCACAGGCCAACAGTTGGCCTCAATTTGTCACCAGGAACTCCCACCCACCCACCTTCCTCCCCATAGATCTGCCTCTGAGTCTTGATTAGACCCCTGCCCCTTCATCTCCCCGCCGGAAGGCAGGCTCCCCTGGGTGAGGCCCCCCATCCCTAACCCCAGAGGGAGTGCCCAGTGAGGACAAGGTGCTCTGGAAAATAAATGAATTCTCCTCCAGGGCACCTACCACACAGGTCCTGACAGGAGGGGGTCCACGTGGCTGGAGAGACCGCAGGCCCATTCTGCCCCCAGATGTTTCTGTTCATGCCAGGCCTAGAATACTCCCTGTGGGGCGCATTCCTTTGATTCTGGAAAGGACGCTGGTCTTCCAGAGTTCCTTTTAAAAGCCACATTTCCCTGGCGGCGGCCCCTTGGTCCTCTTTCTCTTCCTGCTTAGTGGGGATCTGGCCTTCAAGTGCTCATGCTTTCCTACCTGATTAGGGTCCCGGAGCCTTTTGAAAGTCAGATGCTTTGTACTGGACTTCCTGCAAACTACACACACACACACACACACACACACACACACACACACACACACACACTCACACACCCGTTTGGGGGTCCCCTGAGGTGCGCACTGGCTTGTGCCTGGTTAAGTTTCCCTTACCTATTAGGAATTCAGCCGTGGGGAAGTGGGAGGGGGGCATTGAAGGGGCTCCAGAGAGAGCCCAGCCCACCTCCTTTGCAGCTCTGCAGTTTGAAGGCAGGAGGCCCCGCCTCGTTAGCAGCCCTGGGCACCTGGCCTGGGTCACATGCAGCATCTGTCTTGGGAGTCCTGCTGGGTCAGTGAGGAGAGGGCCCCTAACAGGCAGGCCTGCTGCCCTCGACCGCGTCCACAGGGAGCCCCGCCTGTAGGCATGCGCTGTCTTATAACCTTCCATTCTGGCCTTGGGGGAGTCTCTGTTCCCTTAACTCACCTTCCCATCCACCCAGCCTAAATCTGACCACCGTTGTTTCCCACCTGACAACCTAACTCCCTTGATTTAATTCCAGAAACCTCCCACACCTCCCTAAATTCCAAGATTCCAAGCTCCACCCACTCGTGCTTATTTTAGAAAGACCACAAAGAGGGGAGTGATGCCTCGCGCCCAGTCTGTGCCTGGCACCAGCATGGGCATTTTCTGTGTGCTCTTATGTTTCCTGCTCACTCTTGCAGTGTGGGTGATTATTTTGTGGCACAGAAAAATGATACACCGAAGGTCACACAGTGACTAAGAGGCTGCCCTAGGTTTCAAACTCAGATCTGGCTGCTTCTAAACCTGCGCTCCAGCCTCCTCAGGCTTCACAGGGCAGGCATGCCCAGAGCCCAGAGAACTCGGTCTCCTGGTCCTAGACGCTGCCCCTGAGACTTCAGGGGGAGGGCAGAACAGTGATGGCATACACTGTGGCTGGGCACCATAGCCCAACTCTCGGCCTTGATGTTCTGGCCTGTAAAATGGGCAGCAGCACCTCCCTCAGTGGGGCATTGTAAGGATTAGATCTAAACCCTGTGAGGCAGGGGCCCAGCCCCTGGGGCTGTGTAGAGGAGCATGCCAGGCTCAGCTGGGGCTCTTGAGGCCCCCCTGGGCTGTGCTCCAGTGAGAGAGAAGGGGTGGCAGGGCTCCCACCCACAGGACTTGTACCCTGCAACACCTACACCCTCCAGAGCTGGGGAGTCAGATCCCAGCCCTCCTCAGCAGCTCAGAGAACAGAATGCAGCAGGGCCATTCAGCCAGAGGAGGGAAGCTCCTCACCATGGCCTTCCAAGACTTTTTTCCTGGCTGGTGGCTCCCTCTCCAGGCTGAGTTCTTGCTGTAAAAGCTCCAGTGGGGAAGCGCTCTCCTCTTCCCTATGAGAAGAGCTCAGAGCAGGCTCTTTACCCCCATTCAATGCGCCTTTCTGTCCAGCCGGCCAGCCTGTGCTTGATAAGCAAAGACTCTGGGCCAGGCGCTGGGAAGGTGGGGAAGCCACTGCCCACGTGGTGAGAGGGCCCAGCATGCAGTCTCGTGCCAGAGGTGGGGGGCGGTGAGCAACTGAGCAGGAGGACTGTGGTGGCCTTGCGATTATTATGTGGAAAAATGCAGAGGGGTGGTCTAGAGATCATGGATGAAGGTCTAGTAACTCCACCCTCCATGGGGGGCGCTGCCTGGAGGGGTTCATCTCAATGGCACTCTGGTGGTTTTCAAATGGCTGCATGAGCAGGGTGTGAAGTTCCATTTAAAACGGAACTTCCGTGGAGCAGGATGAGTAAAAATGGGAGCCTGAGAAAAAATCACGATGGGAGTGGCCATGTACTGGGCAAGCGCCGCAGATTCTCTGGGGGACCTGCCTGCTAAACAGTGGCAGGACCTGAGGTCAGGAGCAGCACCCCACTGGGGTGAGAAAGGGGATTGGCACCTGGTGTGTGTTTAAGAGCGTGGGTTCTGGAGCCCGAGTCCCAGGGTTCAAATCCCTTTCCCCTATTCGCTAGGGTGTACTCTTGGGCAAGTTCTGGAACTGCTGTGTGCCTCATTTCCACGCTATAAAGTGGTTGTCAAAGCTACCTGTTACAATAGATGTGACTATGAAAATCACAGTGCCCGGCCCACGGCTCACTTACAGGATGCTTGGCACCCACAGGTTCCTTGTTCCGAAACTGCACACATGATGGCTGGTCAGAAACCTTCCCCAGGCGTGATCTGGCCTGTGGCGTTAACGTGAACGATTCTTCCAACGAGAAGCGGGTAAGCCTGTTAACCTCCACCCAATGGACCCAGGGACAGGAACCTGAGGGGTGAGGAGGCCCTGGGAGAGGAGACGGTGGCACAGGCCTAGGACAGTGGTCAGGACGTAAGCACTGCCCTGTCCCCCTGCCTCCTACTCGCCCAGGTGTCAGTGGGTGTGCCTCACTGCCCTGGTCTGTCGATCCGCAGATGATGGTCAGGAGGACCCAGGCACAGGTAGGTAGGAAATGTCCTGTACCACCGTGAGACTGGGGGTGCTGTATTCATTCAACTGAAAGAGAAGCTAACGTGGTGGCTGAATGCTCAGAGCCAGGCTGGTGCGTCTGAATACCGACCTTGACCTTAGTGGGATTGGGGAAGATTTAATCACTATCTGCCTCAGTTTCTTCATCTGTGCAATGGGCTAATAGTGCTGACATAGGCTTTTCAGGAGAACTAAATGAGTTAATTTGTGTGCATGCTGAGATGGGTACCTGCTCTTAGTAAGTGCTCAGTAGTTGTTTGCTTTTGGCCAGGTGTGGTGGCTTACACCTGTAATCCCAGCACTTTGGGAGGATGAGGTGGAAGAATTGCCTGAGGGCAACATAGTGAGACCCGGTGTCTACAAATAATGTTTAAAAATTAGCTGAGTGCGGTGGTGTGTGCCTATAGACCCAGCTACTCAGGGAGCTGAGGCAGGGGGATTGCCTGAGCTCGAGAGTTTGAGGATGCGTGAGCAGTGATTGTGTAGCTGTACTCTAAGCTGGGCAGTGGAGGACAGAGTGAGACACTGTCTCTTAAAAAAAAAAAATGTTGACAGCATTCAAAGGAGTCTCCTGGCTCTGATAAGCAAGGAGGGAGCCCGGCCGCAGAGCATCCCTAGCTGAGAGGATGCTCCCTTCAGTAACCGGCTGACCTTTTCTGGGGACTTCCAGAGGCATCCTCTGAGGGTGGCCATCAGGGCCCTGTCTGGGCTCAGCTCCTTCTGCTTCCCTGTCACGTCCCAGGATGGCCCTCTCTCTCAACTCTCACACACACCCTGCCATCCTGCCTCCCACCTGGGCCTTTGCTCCTGTTAGAGCCCCTTTCTTGCCTTGGAGAATACTTTCCTCCTTTCTTTTCCTGATTTTTTTTTTTCTTTTGAGACAGAGTTTCACTCGTGTTGCCCAGGCTGGAGTACAGTGGTGCTATCTTGGCTCACTGCAACCTTTGCCTCCCGGGTTCAAGTGATTCTCCTGCCTCAGCCTCCTCAGTAGCTGAGATTAACAGGCACGTGCCACCATGCCTGGCTAATTTTTTGTATTTTTAGTAGAGACAGGGTTTCTCCACGTTGGTCAGGCTGGTCTTGAACTCCTGACCTCAGGTGATCCGCCTGCCTTGGCCTCTCAAAGTGCTGGGATTACAGGTGTGAGCCACCATGCCTGGCAGACTGATTCTTATACATCCTTTGAGACTCCACTCGGGCCCATCAGTGCCAGCCGTTTCCTCCTCTCTCCACAGGTGTGGGTCCCTTAGAGCTCGGTGTTGGCTATTACCTACTGTGTTCTATTAAAATGATCAGCGTATGCTACGTGCCTCCATCTTTCTCACTAAAATACAAGCTCCTCAAAGGCATTCGTTCACTCCACACTCAAGGAGGACCTGCTATGGGCCAGGGCTGGGTCTGGGCAAAATCACGGTGACAAATCAGAGTCTTGCTCATTTCCAGGTCCCAGTGCCCAGCACAATGCTTGGCACCTATGAGGTGCCCAGTAAGTATTGGTTGTGCACTTAAACGTCTACCGAGTGCCAGCTGCAATTGTATTCAACCCTCAAAATAACCCTGGGCATTCATTGTTTTTCTCACTGTGCAGAAGAGGAAACTGGGGCTCAGGGATTGCGGAACATGCTTATAAAGCAGTGGAGGTCGGATTTAAACCAAATCTAGCTCCAATAGCATCAGTGCTCCGTCCTCTATCTTCTGATGCCTCCCCATAAGATGTGGGGCCCACCGGGAAGTGCACTTTTAGCAGGTCCCATTAGCTAAACTCTCCAGAGGAAATATGGGTGGATAAGCTTGCTTGTCCCTTGGAGGGTAGGGTGAGGTCATGGGAGAAAGCACGAGTGGAAAGCGGCAGAGTTCAGGGAGAAGGGAGGGGCCTGGGTGGCAGAGCACAGCCTCTTCTGCGTTTCTCTAAGACCCCTCTCTCTCTAGTGCATCAGCCTTGCTCTACGTGGAGGGCAAACTCCAAGGGGAGGATGCGTTTCCTTCTTTCTCAGGGTGTGTCATCCCATTGGGGCATACGTGAGATCTTCAGATCTGGTCAGAGTGGGGTGATTAGTAAGGTGACTCGGCACGGAGTGGCACTCATGGTCTTGGAGGGGTGGTGAGTGGGCTCTCTCTCTGCAGAGGAACGCTTTTATCATCAACTTATATGAAGACACGGGGCTGACTTATATCAAATTTGTAAAATCCATAAAACTAAAAAGGAATATCATGATGGGTGGTGGGATGAAGGTTCAAAAGAAGGCTTTGTGCTGCAAATAACACCCATTTCTCACTAGTTTAATAAGCACATGTGGCTCACATAACTGGAAATGCAGAGAATGGGCTTTGGGATTCTTTGATGAGGCAGCACCACAGAATCACCAGGGACCGTGTCATTTGTATCTCTCTTCCTGCTGTCCTGGCGGCCTCATCCTCAGGCTGGCATTGTAAGATGACTGCCATCAGAAATCACAGCACAGGCCAGGCACAGTGTCTCAGCCTGTAATCCCATCACTTTGGGAGGCTGACATGGATGGATCACTAGAGGCCAGGGGTTTGAGACCAGCCCGGCCCACACAGCAAAACCCTGTCTCTACTAAAAATACAAATTGGTCAGGCATGGTGACATGTGCCTGTAATCCCAGCTACGTGGGAGGCTGAGGCAGGGGAATTGCTTGAACTCGGGAGGCGGAGGTTGCAGTGAGCTGAGATCTTGCCACTGCACTCCAGCCTGGGCAACAGAGTGAGACTCTGTCTCAAAAAGAGAAGAAAAAAATCTACACAATAACTGTCGACTTACACAAATCATCAGGGAAAATGGAGCACAGGGCCTTAAACACAATGTTCATGCCAAGATTAAAACTGTAAAATCCCAAACCAAGGAGCTGAAATTTTATAAAGGAAAATGGAAAGCTCTGGACTTAACTCAGAAAATTAATTGTCCAAAAATGGTGGAAAGGAGACCTAGCTTGGCTTCAGCTTGCATTAAAAAAAAAACCAAAACGACAACTCTAAGTTTGGAAGGGTGTCCTGACCACATGATTCTCTGGTCCCTGAATGCCAGTCCACCTGAATCATCCTATTTCTTATTGTTAAAATGTCTTTTCTTTTCATCAACTGAGGGTAAAGGTACGTGTTAGTTGGTTTTCTTTTCTTCTTCACTTTTTGTGACATCCTTACTTGGCATACAGCACTATATTATTGACGCACTATATTACTGACACCAATAGTGGACCCAGATTGGCAGTAAGAGCACCCATAGATGCCGCGTGGGTAAATAAAATGAGATTTGCAAACTGTAGCTCTTGGACCCAATGCAGCCTCGCCGCCTGCTTTTGTAAATAAAGCTTTATTGGAACACAGCCAAGCCCATTCCTACTATAGTAAGGCTACTTCTGCATGGCAAGGGCAGGGCTGAGTATCTGCAAAAGAGACCACAGGGTGCCCAAAGGCTAAAATACTCTGTCCCTTCACAAAATATGCCTGTGACAGCTGATCTAGAGGCTACACAAAGCAGGTGGCACAGTTAGGACAGACAGCAGTGAGAGAGACAACTGAATTCAAGACAGCCGTGAGGCTTCTGGGCCCCGTGTCCTCTGGGAGTGGTGCACACTTATGGATGTTAAGAGCTGAGGACCAGCTGGGTGTGGTGGCTCATGCCTGTCATCTCAGCACTTTGGGAGGCTGGCCTGGGAGAATCACTTGAGCTCAGGAGTTCGAGACCACCCTGGGCTACACAGGGAGACCTTATCTCTACAAAAAAAAAAAAAAAAAAAAAAAAAAAAAAAAAAAAAAAAAAAATTTAAGTAGCTGACTGTAATGGCACTTCCCTGTAGTCCTAGCTACTTGGGAAGCTAAGGCAGGAAAACTGCTGGAGCCTGGGAGGTTGAGGATGCAGTGAGCCATCATCGTGCTACAGCATTCCAGCCTGGGTGACAGAGTGAGACCCCATCTCAAAAAAAAAAAAAAGAAAAAAAAGAAAAAAAGAGCTAAGGACTGAAGGTCACATGAAAACTCCAGGGAGCAAGGCTCTTTCTGGGTGCGTGAGGCCTTACAAGGCAGGAACAGGTCTGCATGAGAGGTGGGCTGGTCACCTGGTGGGTAATGGCCATAGCCGCAGGACAGTGCAGCATCTTCTGCCTACCACTGCCCCTCCTTGTCGCCCTGTGCCCCTGCAGGCTCTTACAGGCTGGCCCAGGCACACCCAGGAGTGAGGCTGGCACCCTCCGCAATGCGGCTCATTCATACATGGCGAGATTAGCGGTTCACACAATGGGCCTCAATTTTTTGACATTTCACAGGTCTTTGATGTCCCAAAGCCTAGGAACCATTAATTCAAGGCAACCCACTGCCTTCAAGGGTCTTGTTCCTCTCATCCCTGAGAGGGGACTCCTGGCTTCCAGGAGAGCAGTTACATTAGTGGGAACTCAATGTCACATGACAACCTTCTCATTGAAGGCCATCTCCCGCTGTGAGAAAATTTTCAGTCACCTTGAGTCAAAATCTGTCTCCTTTCTGGAAACTTCCCCCATCTGGAGCTCACACATGAGGTCTGGCCCTTCTTCTACACGTCATTCAGTCTAACACTTTTCTCCTCTAAGTGGGTGTTTTTCCCCTCTAGGTGTCATGAACCCGGTTTTTTCATGCACTTCTCAGATGACACAATCACCCTCCTCCAGAAATGCTTCAGTTTATTAATGTGACTCTTAAAATAACATGCCCAGCCTCTCCGAACATTCCCACATGGCCAGCTGCCCACAGCACTCCATCAGTGTAACAGAGAATGAAGCTAGTTTTTGAGCTTTTTTGTGCCTCGGACTTCATATCATCTCCAACCGCTGACTCATTTTGAGGGAGGATGGTAGGGTGGGAAGAAATTAAAGTTACCATACACTGAGTGTTTCCTATGTGCCAAAGCATTGTCTAGGTACTCTATCTGACACCGTATTTGTTCTTTCAACAAGTCCACAAGGTAGATATTATTATCCCCATTTTGCAGATGAGGAATCTGAGGCTCAAAGAGGTTAAATAATTTGCTCAAGGTCACACAGCTGGTGAGTCACAGTCTGGGCTTGGAACCCTTGTCTCCCGGCTCTAAAGCCTCTGTTCTTTCTCTGTCATACACTGGGTGACACTGTGGAGCTTGGGTCTTTCTTTCTTTCTTTTTTGTTTTTTGGTTTTTTTTTGAGATAGAGTTTCAAATTCTTGTTGCCCAGGCTGGAGTGCGATGGTGAGATCTCGGCTCACTGCAACCTCTGCCTCCCAGGTTCAAGCAATTCTCCTGCGTCAACCTTCTCAGTATAGCTAGGATTATAGGTGCCTGCCACCATGCCCGGCTAACTTTTTGTATTTTTAGTGGAGACGGGGTTTCACTATGTTGGCCAGGCTGGTCTTGAACTGCTGATTTCAGGTGATCCACCCACCTCAGCCTCCCAAAGGGCTGGGATTAAGGTGTGAGTCACCACGCCCGGCAGAGCTTCAGTCTTTCTAACCTCAAGGTTATCTTTCCATGAAGAGCTATCAGCCAGCCCCTATTTTATTCTTGTGTCTTCTTAAAAAATTAACTACCTTTTTCTTTTGGTTACAAATAGCCCTTATCCACTGTAGAAAAATTAGAAATATAGAAAAATTACAAAAGAAAATAACAACTGTATTTGCAAACCTATAATGCAAAGTTAACCACTATGAACATCAACCGTATCTCTTTACAGTCTTGTTTCTCTGTATGTATGAGATTGAACCACATGGAATGGCTGATAATTCAATCATTTTAAAATTTTTCTTTATTTTTTGTGTTGATATTCAATCATTTTTGATCTATAAAAAAGGGCAATTTCATATAATTCTTTTAAAAAATTCATTTATTAAATTTTTTTAAAAAATTCTCAGCAGAATCCATTTTTATATAATTCAACCTAATACATTTTTACGTATAGCTGGAATCACATTGCACACGTCAAATTTGAATTCTGCCTTTTCATGTGATAATGTATCACCATGTACTGACTTGTTTTAAACTCTTGGCAAACAACATTTCTTTATTTTTTCGAGATGGTGTCTCGCTCTGTCGCCCTAGCTGGAGTGCAGTGGTGTGATGGGCTCATTGCAACCTCCGCCTCCTGGGTTCAAGTGATTCTCCTGCCTTGGCTTCCTACGTAGCTGGGATTACAGGCGCATGCCAATACACTCTGCTATTTTTTTTGTATTTTTAGTAGAGATGGGGTTTCACATATTGGCCAGGCTGATCTCGAACTCCTGACCTCATGATCCGCCCACCTTGGCCTCCCAAAGTGCTGGGATTACAGTCTTGAGCTACGGTGCCCAGTCTAAACAACATTTTATTAGTGGTACAGCATGAAAATCATTTGTATTTAAAATAATTTAGTTAACTATTCTTCTGTTGTTGGACATTTGGGTTTTTTCCTCACTAATACGTCTGTGATAAACATCTTTATGTATAAATATGCTTTTTTATTTCTGATTATTTTTTAGAATCAATTCCTGGAGGTAGAGGGAAGTCAAAAGGAATGCATATTTCAATGGTTCTTGATACATATTTATTACTTTCCAGAAAGGTTGAACCAGTTTTCACTCCTATTATACCCTCACCTGCATAGAAAATTATTACTTTTAAATATTTGTTAGTTTTGTTGTTAAACATTATTTTTTTTAAAATTTATTTTATTGCATTTTAGGTTTTGGGGTACATGTGAAGAACATGCAAGATTGTTACATAGGTACACACGTGGCAGTGTGATTTGCTGCCTTCCTCCCCATCACCTACATCTGGCATCTCTCCCCTTGCTATCTCTCCCCAACTCCCCACCCCCCACCGTCCCTCCCCTATAAAAATTATTCTTTTAATTTATATTCCCTTGATTCTTTTTAATATCACTTTATTTTTTGAACCTAAATGCAGCTCTTTTAATTTTTTTTTTTTTTTTTTTTTTTTTTGATACAGAGTCTCACTCTGGTGCCCAGGCTGGAGTACAGTGGGGCAATCTCAGCTCACTGCAACCTCCCTCTCCCAGGTTCAAGGGAGTCTCCTGCCTCAGTCTCCCAAGTAGCTGGGATTACGGGCATACACCACCACCCCCAGCTAATTTTTGTATTTTTAGTAGGGACAGGGTTTCTCTATATTGTCCATGCATGTCTAAAACCCTAACCTTAAGGGATCCACCCACCATGGCCTCCCAAAGTTCTGAGATTACAGGTGTGAGCCACCACACCTGGCCAAATCTTTTAATTTTCATATTCCATTTAGGTCTTTTTGCCTCAAATATAAGCCAATAATGTGAAATGGCTGCTGAATAAGTGGATGCCTGCTTGACTGCATAGGTGTGCAGTGTACAGACCAGGGGAGATGGGAGGTGAGGGGCCCATTCTGCCTCTTCCTGGTCAGAGCATGCATCTGGAGCTTTTCAGCTATGTGGTTCTGGGGTCTTATTTAAGAAGAACGTTAACAAACTGGCATATATTAATTTAACTAAAGGTTGAAGGATAGTGGAAAGAGGTTAAAGACATATTCCCTATGTCTTTATGCATTTATTTATTTGAGACAGGGTCTTACTCTATCACCCAGGCTGGAGTGCTGTGGCTGGATCATGGCTTGCTGTGGTCTTGACTTCCCAGGCTTGAATGATCCTCCTACCTCAGCCTCTGAGTGACTGTGACCACATTTGTGTGCCACTGTGCCTCGCTAATTTTAAAATTTTTTTGGAGAGACAGTGTTTTGCCATGTTGCCCAGGCTGGTCTTGAACTCCTGAGCTCAAGTGATTCTTCCTCCTCAGCCTCCCAAAGTTCTGGGATTACAAGCATAAGCCACTGCACCCAACCTGACACAGGGAATATTTAATATAGAGAAAACGAATGAGAAACAAATGGGCAGAATAGCTGTTTAAAAAAATGGCAGGCCTCTCTGCATGACCTTTGCAAATTTTCCAGAAAATGGACCAATATGTGGTGCAAGTAATCGATTTTAGCTTTGCATAAACAAAATCTAATCTTTTGTGGTGTTGTACACCAATTAACTTTCTCAAAGGGCAGTGAGCACCTTGTCTCTAGAGGTATTAAAGCAAAGGCTTGAATTCAGAGAGTTGGCAAAAGGGCCCCATACATAAGGTGGAAGTTTGAATTGGCATCAGATGACCCCTAAGGGCTTTTCCAATGCCAGGATGTTATGGCGTTATGCCTCTGTGACTTGGCGTCCTTGGAGTTTGGGCAGAACAGCTGCGTCAGTGGGGTTCAAGCTGCCTGAAGTGGGTGCACTGAGGCACAGAAGCACAGAGCTAGCCAGGAGGGCCACGGGGCTGACACGTGCCTCTCTCTGCAGCACTCCTACCTGCTGAAGCTGAAAGTCATGTACACCGTGGGCTACAGCTCCTCCCTGGTCATGCTCCTGGTCGCCCTCGGCATCCTCTGTGCTTTCCGGTGAGAACACACTGCCAGCTCTCCATACCCCAGCCCTCCCCAGGCACAGACTTTGAGTCTCTTCTGAACCATCCAGGACAGAAAGAGGAAGGTCTGGGTGAACCACCTTGTCACGTCTTGATCTAAAGCTTACCTGTGGTAAAACATCGAGGTTCTTGTGACCTCATTTATCCTTTTATTGGTTCAACATTTACTAAGCATTACTGAGAACCTGCGGCTGGTTGCTTTACATGTATTATTCTAATTTTTTCACACAATGCTATGAGATAGGTAACAGGAACCCCATTTTACAGGTGCACTAGTCAGATTCTGTTGCAAGAGACAGAAATCCACTTCCAAACAGCCTAAGAAAAAGGCCACCTGACCCGGCAAGCTCAGGGGCATCTGCTATAGGCGTGGCTGGATCTAGGTGTGCAGCGGCCTCAGAGCACTAGGTCCGTCTCCCTCCATTCCTCCGCTCTGGGTTGGCTTCATCCTCTGGGACGCCTTATGCTGGGATGGCAGAGACAACCATCCTCAGTTGCTGGCGTTCATCCTGCTAGCTCAGCAACACCAGGGCCAACAAGAGCCTCTTCCCCACTGGTTCTAGTCAAAGTCCTCAGAGTTCTCATAGGCCGAGCTTGGGTCACATGCCCACCTCCAAACCAATCACTACGGACAGCGATGGAGCACTCTGATTGGTCGAGTCTGTCATGAGGGTGAGAAGGGCGGAGCCCTCCCAATCCAGAGCTGGAATGGGTTTCCCAGAAGACGGCCTGTTCCGGTACCAGGAGCAGCAGAGCAAGTAACTGACTTCTGCCCCTTGCAGCAGAGGAGAGCACTGAGGCTCTGGGAAGTGAAAAGGCTGGCTCAAGGTCATATAGCTGCTAAGTGGCAGAGCCGAGGTCTGCTTTCTCCCCACAGCCTGTGTTCCTTCAGTGCCCTCAGCCCTCTGCCATTCTGGTGGCCGTCCTCACCCCTCCCGCAAAACAATTCAGGGAGCTGGAGATGGTGGTAGGTCAGGGCAGAATACAATGTTGCCCCTACAGCCCCAGCTTTTTATTTATTTATTTAGAGACTAGGTCTTGCTCTGTTGCAGGGGCTGGAGTGCAGTGGCAATGATAGCTCACTGCAGCCTTGAACTCCTGGGCTCAAGTGATCCTCCCACCTCAGCCTTTTGTGCAAGGAATACAGGCAGGCACCACCATGCCCAGCTACTTAAAGAAAAATTATTTGTAGACATAGAAGTCTCACTATGTTGAACTCCTGGCCTCAAGTGATCTTCCTGCCTTGGCCTCCCTAAGTGCTGGGATTATAGGTGTGAGCCACACTGTGGCTTGTCCTTGTTTTTATTTTTTGGTTTTAACTGCAGTATGAAGCAAAGTAGACTGGCCACCTGGGGACCCAGGTCCTCATTCAGGTTATGCTTACAGAGTGTGATATGCTGAAGGAGCTGAAGTCTAGGGCCTCAGTTTCCCCAGTGCACTGGGGGCAGGTGAACCTGGTTGAGCCCCCTGGGCTCTGGCCTCTATGGTCCTACATTCTCTCCCTCCAGGAGGCTCCACTGCACCCGCAACTACATCCACATGCACCTGTTTGTGTCCTTCATCCTTCGCGCCGTGTCTAACTTCATCAAGGACGCTGTGCTTTTCTCCTCGGATGATGTCACCTACTGCGATGCCCACAGGGTAATAGGCCTGGGTGCCCTGGGGTGTCACCAGGCCCGCCTGCCTTCCCCCGCCTAACCTTGGAGAGGGAAGTAGCCTAGCTGTTCTTCCCCTAAGCTCCTGCTGAGATTGCACTTCATACCAAGGATAAAGTGGTCAGTACTGACCCCGAGCCAGGAGGTTCAGGGAGATTCCACAGCCACATGTGCACAATCTGGGTCATGTAGGAGAGACGCTCGTGGGGATTGCCATAAACTCTCAGAGTCCAGGAGTGAACTAGCCACTCTAGGAATTAGATACGTAGGGAGACTCCTCTTTTCCCTACTTCTGCCAGTTCCTGGCTGAAGAAAGATGACCCGGTCTGAGGAGGTTGGGGCTTGGTCATAAAAAGAAAAGGGTGAGCATGGGCCAGTATGTCTGTATACATGTGTTTGCAATAAAACAGTGGTGTTTTCTTAAATCTAACCCCCTTTCTCTTTCCAAATGTCCAGATGACTCAATTCATTGCAATCACCCTGTGTGTCAGTTGGGAATTCCTTTGCTGCAAATAATGGAAAACTGTATATTGGGGTCTTAAACAAATGGGGGCTGTTTCCCACATAAGCAGTCCACAGATGAGGTGGTGCAGTGGCTGCACGATACCATGAGGGACACAGTCTTTTTCCCTCTTTCTGCACTGCCGTCCTTAGAGTAGGCCTTTGATGTCATGCCTTATACCACATGGCTACAATATGGCTGCTGCAACTCCAGGCCTCCCACCTGTGTTCCAGCCAAGAAGGAGAAAGGTTGAAGGTTAAACATTTTTTTTTTCTTATGGGCAGCTTTGCCTTTTTATCAACAAAGGGTACCCTCCCTAGAAACTCGTACCTACATCTCATTGGCTAGAGCTGAGTCATGTAACCACACTTTATTGCAAAGGAAACAGGGTGATTGAGTTTTTTATGTCACAGTCTCCATAGTAGAGGCAAGCAAGGGAGAAAGAAATTGGAATTTGAGATTAGTTCAGCCAACCTGCCTGCCACTTCTTCCTACCACTCACCTGTTTGTATTGTTCATAGTTTGTGTGTGTGCGTGTGTGTGTGTGTGTGTGTGTTTGCGTGTGTATATTTTCTGACTCAGACCGAGAAATTCTTCAGGTAGGATCTATGTCTCTCAAGGAGGTCTCCAGGATGAAACAAGAGGACCTGCTGGGAGTCAGGAGGCTTAAATCTTAACCACGCCTCATTACTGACCAGCGCTGGACAAGGCCAGCAATACCCCAGCAGGGAAACTGCTTTTATGTAAAACCTCAGGTTTTATGAAACATTAGACTCACAAGTCAACCATGGGCCTTGCCTAGAATCAGAGTCTCTGGAAAGGCCATAGGCAGGAACCGCCACTGTCCTGCAGGCAGCAGGGGGCGCTCCTTCTTCTTGGGCTTGTCTCTGCAGCAGCCCTAGGGCCATCTCAGGAGCTGTCCCATCCCCAGGGGACAGCTCAGTGTAAAGAAAAAGACAAAGGCCCTACCATGGCAGAGGTAGAGGAGGCATGCTAGTGTAGAAGCCTGGTGCCCCACAATTCTATAGGCATAGCTTCCAGGGATCCCTGCAGGAGACATGCCTGTTAAGAGTCAGTCACTGCCTCAGGGAAGCCCAACACTATGACATCCCCGTCAGCTGTGTGGAGAGTGTGATGTGCCAGTCAGGGCCATTTTACCATAATCAGTGTTGCCTCCTAACATAGTTGGCACATCCCTTCATTATGTGTTTCCAAGGGAATCGAGCTTAGAAAAGATTTTGTTAACCTTTTGCTCAGAAATCTCTTTCCTTTCTAGGCCTTGGTTTCCTCATCTGAAAAAATGAGGCGATTGGGCAGTATCTGACAATTTTGTAATTGAAAGACTGTCTCCTCATCTAGCCTGGCAGCCCATGCTAGCATTTGGACCTAGTTCCTGCTCCTGTGTTGGCTCATTGGCCACCTTGACTGAACCCCCGGGCCTGTGGACTTCCACTCTCTAGAGAATGCTGTAGGCCTGATGGAGGAAGACCCCAGAGGCCCGCTCTTGTCGCCTGGCCCCTGCCCCCACAACACCCCGTTGTTCCCTTTGGGACCCGTCACCAGAGGGAAGCCCACTGCCACCCGGCCTGGGCTCAGCTGCCTCTCTCTGTCCAGGCGGGCTGCAAGCTGGTCATGGTGTTGTTCCAGTACTGCATCATGGCCAACTACTCCTGGCTGCTGGTGGAAGGCCTCTACCTTCACACACTCCTCGTCATCTCCTTCTTCTCAGAAAGAAAGTACCTCCAGGGATTTGTGGCGCTCGGATGGGGTATGTTTCTCCTGGGGTCTGTCCCTGTGTGGTATGTGGGAAGGGGCGCTGAGTCGAGAGTCGGAGCGTTTGGCTTCTAGTTCCAGCTCCATACTTGACTAACTTGTGTAACTTTTTTCTTTTTTTGAGGTGGTGTTTTGCTCTTGTTGCCCAGGCTGAAGTGCAATGATGTAATCTCAGCTCACTGCAACCTCCGTCTGCGGGGTTCAAGTGATTCTCCTACCTCAGCTTCCCAAGTAGCTGGGATTACAGGCATGTGCCACCACACCCAGCTAATTTTGTATTTTTAGTAGAGACAGGGTTTCACCATGTTGGTCAGGCCAGTCTCGAACTCCTGACCTCAGGTGATCTGCCCGCCTCGGCCTCCCAAAGTGTTGAGATTACAGGCATGAGCCACCGTTACCTGGCTAACTTGTGTAATCTTAGACAAGTTCCTTGATGTTTCACCCTCTGGTCTCAGTTTACTTATCTGTCAAATGGGAAATCATAGCTCAAATTTAGCCCCAGTTTCTGGCATCCAGAGCTTTTTAAAGTTTGTTGCTACCAAATGCTTGTTGCCTCGTCTGCCTTTAGATGGTCCATTCCTATGTCCTCTTTCTTGCTTTCTTTCTGTATCAGGATGCTTTTGCTGCCTTTTGATGGTCAGGCTTTAAACATAAAGGAAATTAATTGGCTCATATAACTGAAAAGTCTAGGGATCACCAACTTCAGGAGAGGCTGAATCCAGCAGCTTAACACTGTTTCTTTCTGTCTGTACTTTGCCTTTTGTAACATCAGCTTTACAGTTAGGCCGGTGTTCCCAATGGAATGGCCAACGTCTTCTGGGCTAGAGACTTCCTTGTACCAGACTCTAATGAGAGAAAAAAAGAGACTCCATCCAGCATTCTCAGCAAATATTCTGAGGTGCACTCTGGTTGGACTGCTTAAATCTCATAGACATCTTTGAACTAGTCACAGAGGCCTGAGAGAATGAACTATGCTGATTGGCCTAAGCTACTCAAACCACATGACTTCTCAAAGGAAATTCAGGATTCACTGTCTAGGAAAGAGGGGGAATGAGAGTGAGACAGCCAAGTGCGGGCCCCCATTCCATCTCTCTCCCCTTTGCTTTCTGTTCAACAAAGACAATAAATGACTTCCATTGTTTTGGGCACTTGCTATGTGCCAGATATTGAGTTCAGCACTTTACATGTATCATTTAATCACCATAGCAATCTCCAGAGACCTCTCAGAGTCCTCAGAGATGAAACAAAATACTCAACTCACACGGTAAACAAGGACAGACCTCAGGAGTCAAGCCAAGACCTGTCTGTTTCCAAAGTCCTTTGACTTTTACCCTGCCATTAACATCCATCCATCCATCCATCCATCCATCCATCCATTCATCCATCCATCAGTTTTTCACTTGATAAATATGAAAGTTACCCTGAGGAGTTCTAGACAGAGAGCCAGGTCTCTGAGAGTGACTCAAAGGCTTACAGAGATAGTCATGTGTACTAGGCATCAGCTTCTTTTGGTTTCTTCCTGGCGCCATTAAGAAGTGTCTCTGCCAGGAATGTCCTCTGCTGCCTTTTCTGCTTGTCTAAATCCTTATTTGCAAGGACCCTTTTGCAAGGGCAGCATTAGGGAAGCTGCCCGAACTGGCAGAGCTTGCTGAGCCATCCTGCTCCCGAACCTTGGCAGCCCAGTTAGCACCTGACCCTCAGCCAGAGGGAGGTTGTAGGGCTGTGCCAGTGTCTCCAGAGGCCAGCAATACCAGCGCGCCTGGAGACTAGGGACTTGCCTTATGCAGCTGACGCTGCGGTAAAAGCACCCAGCTCATTGAACCCAACTCACTAGGCTTTAAATCCCAGATCTGCCAAGATTTAGCTGAATGAACATGGACAGTTTCCCCATCTATAATATCAGGATTGTAATTTATTCAGCGTTCTTCGAGCACTTCCTGTGTTCAGAGATATCAAAGTTGCACTGTGATAATATATCTGTCACAGGATTTTAAGATGTTTGAATGAAATAATGAGAACCTTCCTTTCTTCTTCAAATCTTTATGGAGCATCTACTATACGCCAGCCCTGTGCTGGGTGCTGAGAATTGAGTAGCATGTAAAACAGCAATGATTCTCTTCCTTCCGGCCTGTTTTCCTGCCAGACACCAAAGAGACCCCGAAGGGCCCCTGGAAGGCCTGAAGCCCCTCTATCTGTGAGAAGCCCTTTTCATGCAAAGGTACATTGCCCCTGCTTGAAATTATAATGGTTTCACCAAAGATAGGTTGCTTAAATGTGTACACACCTACTGTAAAACCTTGCAGAAAAAGTTTTTTTCAAGTAGAAAAAAAAATTTCCCTAGTCCCATAGATTGAACTTTTTCTGGGATTTCCTTCCAGCCTCTTTTTCTACTTGCAGTTTTTCCTTGTATTGCTGTGGTCATCCTCTACACAGAAATTTGAATTTTGCTTCTTTCCATTAACACATAAGCATGTTCTAAATTTCTGTATTATTTCAAATCTTTTTTTTTTTTTTTTTTGAAACGAGTCTTGCTCTATTGCCTAGGCTGGAGTG